GTCGAGTATAAGTAAAGTGAAAGTAGAGAGCTGGAATACTGGGAGCAGCAAATTTACACAGGTAACAGAATGATGAAACTGGAGAAATGAAGAACCAGGCGAGTCCTTAATCAGAAGGAAGTGCACATTAATGTGCTAATTGAGAACATATGATCTTTTTATTCAAGTAAAAAACTGTGAGTGGATAGTATAACATAATATGTGATATGAGAAAACAAGGGAGAATATTGTGAACTAAGGTTTAGATAAGGATGGGAACAGAGCATCTGGTTAAATGGGGTAAGGGTAAGTTAATGAGTACTAATGGTAAGTGAGAAAATACCAATGAAAGCCACCTAGTTTTGTAAGCTAATTAAAATACCTTTGAATATGATTTTGCACATAAGTGTGCCATATTAGTGAACAATACTGCTCCTAGAAGGCATAGGTTGTTGATTGGAGATCTCCATGCCTGATCCATGGTACCTCCCTGTCAGAGGAACCATAGAGGAACCCCCAAACAATAATGGCTATTATCATTACTCTCTATGATAGTTGTCTATCATAACTAGATAACAAGAATCTATTGTCGAAACCATACACTTTGATTGCAGGATACAGACAAATCACTCTTAAACTGACCGGAAAACAATTGCTACTAACTTTTATAGTGTTAGAAGTTCCTATATAGGCTGCTGGACTAAGATAAAATCTCAAAGTACTTTTAATTTGCATTTCCCTGAGGATGAATGATATTGATCAGACTTGAAATATTTCTCAGCCATTTGTATTATTATAATTTCTTTTTCTCCTTTCCTTTTATTGAAAATGGATTATTTTCTCATATAATATATCCTGATTATAGTCTCCCCTCTATTTACTCCTCCCAGTTGCTATCCCCTCCTCTCCTCTCCAGATCTACTCTCTTTATGTCTTTTATTACAAAAGAACAGGCATCTAGGAGATAACATCAAATATGACCAAATAAAATATAATAAGATGAAACAATGGACACGGATGTGCAGGCATCTCTATAGGAGGCTATAGGTCCTTTTATTATATACTCAGGGATGCTACAGCTGGATCATATGGAAGATGTACTTTGAGCTTTTTGATGAACTTCTACCCTCCACATTGATTCTCACGGAAAGAAAACACATATGTAGACACTAGCTTTGGATTGTTATGTATACGTTTAAATTAGAGTATCTATACATGTGAGAAAACTAGTAAGTTACTATGGGAGATAATTTAAGGGAAATGGGATATAAGGTAAATAGTAAAAGATGAAAGGGAAATAATGGGACAGGACGATTGAAATAGATTGGGGGATAGGAGAACAAGATAGAAGGGGAAGTATGGTGAGGGGTAACTGAAACTAAAGACTTTGAATATGTCTTCTGGAAACCTATAACTGTAGAAACTTACCAAAATATACACAGGGAAACCTGGTGAGAAGAATGGGAAAAATGAAAGACCTGGAAAATTGGGAAGAATGCTATACTATGGACATGAGATAATTGGTGTGTACATGAATTCAGAGCAGCTGTCATCATATATACAACTTCTGCAAAAGGTCAAGGCAATATAGTGGATAGACAGACTTCAAAACCCCAGCCTTTGCTAAGGAGTTATTGGCAAGTGATAGTTGTTGAGGAAGGAGAGTCATATTTCTTTACATCTGTGTCCATATGTAATTCCTCAAAAACCAGTGAATGATACCACACTCCTGTCTTTATGGATAGCACTAATATTGGACTCAGGGGCTAAAATACACACATAAATTATGATAAAAGAGGGATAAGAAGTTGTAATGAAGATATAATTATGGTGTGAGGAGTAGGGACAGGGCAGGAAAGAAGGGGTGTGGTCAAGATACATTAAATATATGAATGAAAATTTCAAAACAAATACAATTTTAAAAAAGAATGTGAATTACCATATTAAATTCAGGTGATTATAAATGAAGAACCAAAGTGAACTGAAGGATAGTCATGAAAGAAGTGCATGTGTGAACAAAATCTTAACCCAGTGTTTCCAGGCTTCAGTGCTCTGAATTGCAGACTTTTTAAATTTTAAATGTTTTCTATTTGATTATATAAGGTCATTTCAGTGTACATATGTAAATATACTTTGCACACATTTGACTCCATTCCACAATACAATTTGTTTATTCCCCACTCCCTATCATGTTAGCTCACTTTGTTCCCATAGAGAATATTATTTTGACTTATGTATCCTCTGATGCTCTAAAAATACAGGAGTTCATCTGGCTTCATAAAATTTTAGACTCCCAAATGAAAGAACATATATTTGCCTATTTAGTACTCGCTTGATTGATTTAATATAATCATCCCATTGCATCCTTTTTCTTGCAAATGATACAACTTCTTTCTTGTTCACAGTTTTAGAAAATTCCACATAGTTTATAAGCCACATAATGATCTTTTATATTTATCTATGACCTATGTTTGTGGTCGTATATGGGAGGAATATTTTTTCAGTAGGAGGCAATAGCTCTAGTAAGTAATACACTTAGTCACGCAATAAATTAGAGGGTCATAATCGTTCTGTCTTCTGATCCTTTATATACGTATTAAAAAAAACATAGGAATGCACTGGGCGGCGGTGGTGCACACCTTTAATCCCAGCACTGGGGAGGCAGAGCCAGATGGAGCTCTGTGAGTTTGAGGACAGCCTGGTGTACACAGAGAGAGATCCAGGACAGGCACCAAAACTACACAGAGAAACCCTGTCTTGTAAACCTCCCCCCCAAAACAAACAAACAAACAAACAAACAAACAAAACACACAAAAAACCCATAGGAATATAAATCAAAAAAATAAAAGGAAATAAAAATCATAGAAACTGTACAGCTTTCATTCCTTGTTGTGTCACTTTAGCCAGTAGAGGATAAAAGAAAAGTACTTCATGTAGGTCTCACCCACTTCTCTGTTATTGGGCAATCCCTGTGTCTTTCTTGGGGTACTGTTTTCTAGGTAGCCTCCCTGGAGATGTGAGTAGTAGTCTAGTCATCTTTGTTTTACATCTAGTATCCTCCCATGAGTGAGTACATACCATGTTTGTATTTCTGAGTCTGGGTTACCTCACACAGGATGATTTTTTCTAGATCCATTCATTTGCCTGCAAACCTCATGATGTCATTGTTTTTCTCAGCTGAGTAGTACTCCATTGTGTATATGCACCACATTTTATTTATCCATTCTTCAGTTGAAGGGCATCTAGGTTGTTTCCATGTTCTGGCTATTACAAACAATGCTGATATGAACATAGCTGAGCAAGTGCCCTTATGGTGTGGTTGAGCATTCCTTGGGTATATGCCCAAGAGTGGTATAGCTGGGTCTTGGGGGAGATTGATTCCCAATTTTCTAAGAAAGTGCCATATTGATTTCCAAAGTGGTTGTACAAGCTTGCATTCCCACCAGCAGTGGAGGAGAGTTCCCCTAGCTCCACATCCTCTCCAGCATAAACTGTCTTCAGTATGAGTTGGGGAAATGAATGGCAAGGTTAAAGGGAAAGAGAGCTTAGGCAAATGGGAGATCCCAGCTGAATCAAAAGCAGAGAGGGAGAACAAGGAATAAGAGACCATGATAAATGAAGACCACATGAGAATAGGAAGAAGCACAGTGCTAGAGAGGTCCACAGAAATCCGCAAAAATACCTTCACAATAGACTACTGGCAATGTTTGAGAGACAGCCAGAACTGACCTACTCTGGTGATGGGATGGCCAAACACCTTAATTGTCATGCTAGAAACCTCATCCAACAATAGAGGGAGCTGGATGCAGAGATCCACAGCCAGGCCCCAAGTGGATCTCCAGCAGTCCAATTGGCGAGAAAGAGGAGGCTTTGTATGAGTGAGAATTGTTGAGACCACGATTGGAAAAAGCACAGGGACAAATAGCCAAACGAATGGAAACACATGAACTATGAACAAATAGCTGAGGAGCCCCAACTGGATCAGGCTCTCGGGATAAGTGAGACAGTTGATTAGCTTGATCTGTTTAGGAGGCATCCAGGCAGTGGGACTGGGACCTGTCCTTAGTGCATGAGCTGGCTGTTTGGAACCTGGGGCTAATACAGGGACACTTGGCTCAGCCTGGGAGGAGGGGACTGGACCTGCCTGGACTGAATCTACCAGGTTGAGCTCAATCCCTAGGGAAGTCTTTGCCCTGGAGGAGATGGGAATGGGGGGTGTGCTGGGGAGAAGGGTGGGGGGTGGTGGCGGGAGGGGGGAGAACAAGGGAATCTGTGGCTGATATGTAAAATTAAATTAAATTATAAAATAAAAAAGAATATATTAAATTTTATGAGAAAAAAAAGAAAAGTACTAACTAACACAAAAAAGATGTTAAATTTGGTATCATCTAGAGAAGCCTTTAGAGATACAGCATACAGGGTTGATTGAGATGATGTTAAGACAACCAAAATCAGAGGAACTGTTTGAAGACAGTTGGAAAGCAATCAGGAACCATTCTATACTTGTATCCAAGATACTTGAGGTTCTTCAACAAATATCACAATGCTAGGGAAATGTAGTTCGCTTGTGCTTGTGTTGTCTGTGAGAAACTTAAATGTTGTAATGTCAGGATCCTTCCATTAAGGATCCAAAAAATCCCAAGTTTTAGAATAGGCTGAATGAAGAGATTTGTGAAAAATGTCTCCCTTAGATTCTAATAACTTAATACACATTGATATTCCCTAATGGTTAAATTAGTTGTGAAATATGTCAGTTGCATGACTAACTTCTGTTTTTTGTGAAATATTTGATGGGAATATGTTAATGGTATAAACAGATTTTTTTTTTAAAATTAAATGACATACAGTAGTTATGATCATTTGGCTGGCTCCTCACAAGGTAGCATATATGGAGTCAGTTTTTATTTTAAAAGAAGATAACCATCACAACAAGCATGCATTCAGAAGAGAAAAACTTAAAGGAAGTTTCGCAGCAACAGATCATTCAGTAGCATCTCAGAAACAGATGTGGTGGAAGGGACTTAACAGTTGTTTTCTTTCAATATTTTGCACTTCACAATCTTGAGAGAAGATTCAACTTTTTGAGCATTTCTGCCCGCACAGCGGATCAGGTTATAAAATGCAAACAGGCGAGCATCTTCACTGTCAGAATTCAAGGCTGCCAGTCCAGACCACACAGGGTAGTTCTCATTTCTTTCATCTGTACTTTGAATCTGATCAACAAAAAGAGAGTCAAAGATCAATTATAGTTTAGTATTTTGGGGTGCACAACTTTTCAAAATGTGGAATGAATACTTGAGGAGAGTAAGGATTGCTAAACTCAGCCAAACCTATGGATTTTCATGAGAACTGAACCAAGGTACTTAAAATGTGACAAACTGATGTATGCATTTTCTGCCTGATAAACTAAAGTCTTGCAGAAGTTGAAGAATGGACTGACAGAAAGTTACTTGATTTTAGACACGGATTTGAAAAAAGTACAAGGAAAAATCCAGTGTCCATTCAATCTCTTAAGTAATGTTACATGTCTTCAACACAGTTCCTGACTTGCCCTTTTTTTCTCAATAGGTTCTTATATTGAAACATTGTCCTTTCTTATTTTGAACCAAATAAGTTCTTCATATAATGCATACACCCCAAATCTGAGATTCAGTGACTTTTACACTTGCCAGTTTTAGGTGAAAATAGTCAAGGGATAACCATGCTATGAGATCTGCTCAAGTGCCTGAGTGACTGACTTTTGGACTATGAAGAGTCCTGTCCCAGTATAAATGATGAGCAGATGTTTTCTTCTGAGGTCCCTGGGATGTGCAGTTTTGAATGAAGCACCCCTTAGATGGTTGCAATTCCAGCTTCTCCTTAAATGTCTGTGATAGTTCAATGCCTACAGTTCTCTCTCTTTTTTAAATTTAAACATGTTTCCTTTTAATAGTCATGTGTCAATTGCATATATATTGTGTACAACATGGTGATTTGATATTTTCTACAATGTTTAAGATTGTAATCATGGTAGACAGATTTCTCTGTTTCTTATTTGTTCTTGCTTTTCAACTACTCTCTTTCAGTTGTACAAATAATACAGGGGATGTGGGATTGCGGAATGGCTTGGGAAAGAGGGCTGGGGAGTAGGAAGAGGAGGGAGGGGGGAATCTGTGGATGGTATGTGAAGTGAGTAGAAAATTTCTTAATAAAGAAAAAAATGAAAAAAATTATAAATATAGTTCTCTTTTGTAAAGAGACATTTTGCAAAATTCAATTCTCCTTGCCCTGGTGACTTGGTTTTTTAAGAAGAAAAATAGAGAAGTGGAAAGGACTGCTCACCTGGATGAGAATGCTCCTAACCCCCTCCAGGAGTCCAGTGTTCTTTTCTTCAATGTCTCTGGCTTTGTCAAGGACTGTAGCAGGGACATCTTTCAAGGAAGGCATTTCTTTCACTAGATGATACATGGGGACTTTCCAGGCATTCAACAAGCTTTCCACTAATTTCAGTAGGGTGATTGGCTAAGTAACCATATTTGAACAATCATATGAAAATAAGTGAAAAGGAACAGCATTAGACACAGACAGTTTTGTACTCAAAAGGGTTAATTAAGCTTTCTTTGTTAATTGTGCATGCATTTAAAACATTCTTTTGTAAATTATATGATGATATGAAATATTGCCATTGACCTTGTGTATAAAACGTGAGTGAATTGAATTCAGAAATTCTAGTAGAGTTCTTTAAAGTTGCTAGCAAAGTAATAGCTTTTATTTTTATTTATTTATTTTTTTTGGAGCTGAGGACAGAACACAGGCCCTTGCACTAGCTAGGCAAGTGCTGTACCACTGAACTAAATCCCCAACCCTTATAGTAATAGCTTTTATTAAATGTATTCTCATCTCAGCTCTGCCTTCCCTGCTTTCTTTCATTAATTCATTATTATTTTAGTAAGAATTGTAGAGACACAATGCTATAGCCCTTAAGTCGTACATGGAATATGCATTCTAAGTGTGGGGTTATGCAAGTATATACAATAACGTTTAGTTTAAATTACCTTGAGATCATTTATGGCAGGAAATCAGAAATGAGAGGTGATAAGGATTAGGAATTAAATGAGACATGTGTGATATGTAACCTTGTCAGCATGCAGTGGGGATGGTTATGAACTGGGGAACATCTTAGAATGTTAACTGTGCTCCTTTCTTTAGCTGACTTTCAGGTGTGATATGGGCGAAGGCAGAACAATCAGTTAGGAATCAGCACTTGGGATCAGAAACATAAGTAGAACTAGGAGGTGGCATGAAGAAGTGGCAAACAAGTTAGTAACATAAAGAGCTGTCAACACGGTCCATTAGCAACAGAAGATAAGTACAACCACATCGGCTTTGTATAAATCCACATTACTGCCCTTAACAGTGAGTGTCAATGATAATTTATCCTTTTCTATAGGATATGTATATCCTTAAGGTTTGGCATTGAAAGGGGGTCCTCTCCATAAAGGATTTATAGATTTGTTAAATGTTACTTGGCAGATTTTCCTTACAATTTATGAACTATATAATAAAATTTCTTTTTGTTACTCATTTCATGTCCATTTCTTGCAGATATTATTCTCATACTCAATATATTGACTACAATAACTTATAGTATGGCAAAGCCAGTGTGAAAGAAATGCTAAGGGTGGGGACTCACGTGTGTCTGCAGAGCTTTATTACTGGGAAGATCGAGCGAAGATGTGTGGCATTTTTTGAGGTTCCTGCTAATGAGCTGGTGGCTCTGGGCATACTGACTATCCTGGAAATGATAAAATATGCAATTAGTTGGTGACTAGAAATTGTGTAAATGAATCAATGATCAACACATTAATGAATTTGATAGACGTTTCATTTTAAAAATAAAATATTAATATAGTAAGGAAACGAGCCATTTAACTACATTTACATTCAATCTGTAGTCTTATTTTCTATTCATATAACTTCTAAATTTCCCAAACTCCCTCGTATTTACGATTATTAGCTTTGCTACTCAGCAAAAACCAGCAAGGCTACCAAGTACCATTTTTTTAAAGTATCATTTGTAACAAATGCTATGGTAAACAATTTTTCTTACAAATACCTTGGCATCTACACAGGTATTTCTCATCTAGTTCATTAGGAATAACAAACAAACTATTGTATTGATTATGACAAAATTAAGTTATACTCTATGGAGAATATACCAGAAAATATTAAACCATGAACCAATTAAAATTGAAAATTGATAGATTTCTTTGTATTCTCATCAATATTTATTTGTTATGTACTTCTAAATCTTTATTTTGTAAAATATCTATTATTAAAAACTACTATTAATGAAATATTTGGCAGTTTGAATGAATTTTTAGGATGATTCTGAATGTCCTAGGTGACCCATCAGGAAATGTAAATGGCAGAAACAATAATACGTGAAATAAATGTTAGGAATATATGGGCTTTGCAAGGACTGAGCCAACTTCTGACAAGTCCATTAATGTAGAGCAGTCATCACTGTTCGTTACTTCATTGACTGGATTAGAACATGTGCCATAAAGCCTTAAAGAGGTCTTCATCATGAATACCTGACCTAGTTCCCTGCATCAGACCCTTTGCTATTAAATTACATATCTTGACTAGTTTAAAATTATTAGTAACATTTGTGAGTATGAAGATTGAATATTAATTTTCTTTTACTCCTGACATGGCCTCAGTGTCTTTAACTCTATTTAACCTTTGCAAGTCACTGCAATGCATTCTTCTCTTGTAGATAATACAGAATCTAAAGGTGAGTAATGCAAACAAAGACTAGCCTACCAGATACTTGAAAGAGAGTCAAATCTTTCCTCAGCTTGTCTTGTGTATATTCATGTCACAAAAATGAATTAATAAAAGTTTAACAACAGCGAAAACTAAGATTATATCTTGGCAAATATCTGGCATTCCATGAGACTGCCCTATTTTCTGGTTCCACAATCTTGTAGACTCTATTTTTTTTCTACCTATGAAGCTACATTGTTTGAAGTTTGGACCACGATGCTTTCCACTTTAGACTATACTATAAACTAACCATTTCAATGGAGGAATAATTTGGTAAGAAGCTGGAAGTCAGGGGGCAGTACTTACGAATTCCGTGAACATTTCAAATGCTTGTTTACTTATGTGCTCAGACAAACTGACTGCTCGATCAAGCATTTCTCCCAAAGGAGGAAAGCAGCGCCCATTCCTCATTAAACACGTGGGAACTGAGGCCACATCCTCCCACAGGAGCAGGTTGGACATCAGTAGTAGAAGCAGCGTCCCTGTTAAACGAGAATAAGGACTCTTGAGATCTAGTCATCTGAGTTTATCAACAGTGACGTCATCAATCTAAGCCTTTGCTAACAGTGGCCTCCTTTGTACAAATTGTTGTTTAATTTTGTGAGAATAATGAGCATTTTCCAAGGAGGACATTCAAGTAGAGGATTATACTCTCTTATATTCATATTTCGAAATATGAGTGTCTCTTGGCAGTTCTTTATTACTCCTGGCATTGCTTCTGCATTCTTCAAACTTTTGGAGTCTAACTTAAGTGTGCCAGTGGGTGTTCAAGCCTATGTCTCCAGATAGTTCAAGGTCTTGTGGTTCTCTGCTGGTTTTCAGTAACACCACTCATTAATTTGTAATATTTTTAATTGTTAATTTTATTCTATGTGTAACAGGGTTTTTTAATCTGTGTGTGTGTGTGTGTGTGTGTGTGTGTGTGTGTGTGTGTGTGTGTGTGTGTGTATGTGTGACTTGTATGCCTGGTACCCAAAGAGGCCAGAAGAAGGGGTCAGTTTTTCTGGGATTAAAGATAAAGTTGTGAGCAGCCAAGTTGGTGGTAGGAAGAAAACCCAGGACCTGTTCAAGAAAAGCAATTGTTTTTATCCACTGAGCCATCACTCTAGTCCCCAAATTTCTAACTTTAATTCAGTGTCTAATATTAGTATTTTGGACACCAGTGTAAGAAGAACAGTTCTGTTTCTGGGTTTATTTTCATGGCAAAATGGGAATAAACTCATGATTATTTATTTACAAGTACTTATGCCAAAGAGAATGGTGTTATGAAAATGAAGCCACATAGTGGAACTTCCAACTCAGTGTAATGATGTCATGCATTTCTTCTTTTGTCAAAATGTTCATATTTTTCTTCTGAATTTATGGTTTCTACCAACCATGATGATGAAATAGATTGCATGTAGATATTCTACATTTTTTATTGTCTCTCCTCTTAGTAATTTGAGGAGTTACCAAACTGATAGTGGAGTTCTTGGCCAGCACCTGAGGCTTGTGTTGTGGCAGGCTGTCAGCATCCTACACTGCTACACACTGTCCACGTGGTTGGATAACACAGGCGGTAAGAAGTTGGTTTTATCTTCTTTGTGTAAAACAGTTACCGAATGTTTTCTAATGAGCTGGATTGGTGTCATCATCAACTCATTTTTCATAAAAGAACAAAAACCCCATAACATATGGGTAATTTATAGTCTCAATACTATGAATCACCATCAATGCCCCAAAGTGGAAAGTTTATACACCTTCAGTGACACCAATCTGAAAAGACTCCTTGACCCTCAGAAGCTGTGAAAAATGGAGTTGGATATGCACATCAGAAATTTAGAAACTTAATAAGATTTATAATGGAAAACACATAAACTGAATATGCAAAATAAAACTATCAAAATATTTTGTGGTATACAGGTAAACAGGAACCTTTTCAAATAAAATAAAAATATTCAGATAATTCCTATTATAGAAAAAAGCTGTTCAAAAATCATGAAAGTTTTCCAAATTTATTTTATACATGAGAGATACTTATTTGTAAAATAAATATAAGCATATATGCATATCTTTAATTTATCATCTGAAAGATTTTCACAATCTAAGTGGAGTAAAATGAGCTAAGGGTTTTAGCTTATAACTTCATAAAATTTAAAAGCTTGCCTTTGTGAAATTTTTGGATGTTAATAATTCATTTTACTTGGAAATATTATCAAGAAAATAAAGGTAAATATTAGCAAAGTGTCCTTTAATTTAAAGAGTACTTTGCTTGACTGAAATTCTCAAAGCTGTAGAGAGCCACATCTGCTAGCTTTATCTGCTCTGTGGACAAAACTGAAAATATGATTCAGTTCATTCAAGTCAAGCAAGACCCAGAAATCAGAATATGTTATATCTTTCCTTCTACAGTTGTAACAAATTGTACCCACTCTTGTTGTTACTCTGACTAGAAGTATCAATATTTGCAAGTTTGGCTCTATGAGGTGCATCATTCCATGTTCTGGAACTCTCTTCAATACAAATTGTTAAAATGACTCACTGCTGGTCTCTACCACTAGAGACAGGTGCTGTTCCTGTTTTCCACTTAGGGCAACTAGGCCAATGCAAAATGTCTCTAGCCATTGCTGGATGTCTCCAGGTAAGAAGACTTCCCTTTCAGAATCAGGGATGCATCAGTGCACTGTGCAGTTGTTTTCTAGAGCAATAGTTAGAAAATATTTCTCAGCTCCTTCCGACTTCCCTGGCAGACAAATTTCCATTCACTGCATAAATGAGAACAATAACACACACACACACACACACACACACACACACACACACACACACACACACGCACATGTACACAGACACACACATCTACACAGCCATGCATGCATGAATGCACACACACATGCATACATGCACAGCACATGCACACACACACACACACACACACACACACACACACACACACATACACACACAAAACAAAACAACGAAACCCAACAACAACAACAAACCTTTCCAAACCAGTTTCATTTTAAAATAAGGCAATGTTTAATTAAGGTCAACTGGAGGAATTCTGGAGAAGAGTCACTGACATGAGCAGAGTTGAATCAAAGACAGCTCTACCTCTACAGAGTCTATTAAAGCTTGGGAACCAGAACACCATATAGAAACGACACCCAAAAAAAATAAAACTGCCAATGCAGCTTTGTAAAACAATGTAATGTGTAAGGTTGTCATTTGAAAGCACATTAGTAACGAGTTACTTACAAAAGCGTGGATGAGGTAAAGACAGCTGCATCTCTGAGGAGTTCCACAGCAGCACGGCTCCAACTTAAGAAATCTTCCCCACAACAATCGTACCTAAAGTTAATTTTCCCTCCTATATAGTGTTTCACACTATCCCCAAGGCCATATACTGCCAGGGGCAGGAGGAAGTAATATGCAAATCCAAGTTGAGGATACCTTGACTCTCCCCCCTCAGGGGCTGTTTTACAGCCTAATTGTCATGATGATTAACCTATGTATAACTGCATTGCTTATTTTATTCTAAGTATGTGATTAGAGTCCAAATTGCATTGTAATTCACACCAGTAAACTCTGCTTCATGAAAACATGTGACTTTCTTCATGTGCCCAAAGCATTCATTATTTTCTTTATGTTCTTATATTTTAGTTATTACTTCTGAAATTTTCACTGAATCTTAGATGTGTCAAAATATTGATATTATTGTTTTTGGAGCACTGGGAAGAAGGTCAAGAAAGAGTCAGCAATTTTGAGCAATTTAGCCTTGTGAGTCTTTTCCAATATCCTTGGAACACTGATTAGCATTTGCCTTTAAATAGTAGGCACGTAAGAGCATAGTGTAGGGCCAGATACAAATGTTTAGAGGGACTTTTGGTAGGTAATCACATTCATTATAAGAAAAAACATCAAACACCTTCTAGTTGGAGCCTATGATAGCCCCACTTACAGACTTTCAGCCAGATTTACAGTGAATAAACACAAGTTATAGCCATGGAATTAGACTTAAATCCAAACATGCTTGTCTATGTTTATAATAGTTGTACCACTATTAGATGAATCTATACATCCTGCTTGGCTTAGTAATGTCACTGACTTTGGCTGAACAGCTTCCTTAGTGACATTTCCTGGCAGTAGCCAGGATACTTACATTTGGTCCTATGGAAGTCAAACACTAGCATTAGATCTTTTGCCTGATGGATTTATACATTTCAAGAAATCATAACTTGTGGCATCTCATTCTATGGTCTCTTATATTTAGTATTGCTTACGTCTAACCCACTGACAGTTTATTACATATGTAGTCAATAGGGCCTCGCTGTTGTATAACTCTTAAGAAGCCTGTAACTGGACCTTGGGATATTTCAGTAACCTTATAGTTTGACTTAGACTTCTTCCAACAATGGCAGGTTACTGCCTTCAAATTAACTGTTGTCTTTGCTTACAGAAGGCCTTTGAAATATTTACAATACCAGATGCTATCTTTATATAGTCAACCCTTGAAGATGGTTATCAGAATCATCAATGGCCTGGTTTTCTCTGTCACAAATGCAAGTTGGAATGAATTCAGCATATACAGGAATCATTACAAATGAAAACAGTTATTACATTATACTATGTAATGAAAAGATCTCATTTGTTTTGTTTCCTCCAAAGAGTGAAATTGTGGACAACATGGTATACCCCAGGCAGTGCCTTATATGACTGTAGATATTATCACATATTCCTTCTTTTTGCAAGGGAATGTTTCATTTTTGATGTTGTACCAATCTAACAATAAGAATCTCACAATCAAGAAATTGCCTTGAGTCTAAGTAGAGATAGTAGATGAATGAGCAGTGTTGAAACTCTGATTCACTATGAGGACTCATGAAGAGGCCCAATGAGTCATGTGCTATGACAATCGTATTAACCATGCGGAAAGGAACAGAAAATTTTTGCATAAAATGTTATAGTTATGTGTCATGTTGACAGAGGTTGGAACTGTGATTGCTAATATAGATTGGCATCTTGATAGACTCTAGAATCCCCTAAGAGACAAAACTCTGGGTAGTTTCATGAGGAAGAGTCCATACCTTGCTACTTTAGGCAAGAGGACCAATTTATGAGTAGTATCACTCCTTGGTTTTGTCTCAGACTGAATGACAAGGACAAGGTAAGTGCAGAGACAGCATTGTCCCTGCAGCTTCCTGATGGTGGGAGCAATATGACCAACTGTGTCATCTGCCCTGTTATGATGACATTCCACTGCAATATTAGCCACAATTAACTCCACCATATCAAAATTGCCTTTATCAGATTTAGCAGATCACTGAAAAATGGAATTTGTGCAAATGTCATCACCCACTAAACGTCAGTCCTCATCATCTTGAGGCACTTCCCAGAACAGTTGGTGCTGTGCTGTATACAGCTTATATTATTTGTGCTGGCCAGGGCCATGACTTGTGTTGGCCATGAGGAAGTGGGGGACCAGGTCCATCCTTGTTTGCAGATCCTTGCCGTTTCACCTGGCTACTTGTGTAAGACTGGCTTCAGGCTGACCCCGTGGCCACATCCTGTTTATCAGCCATACATGTCTGCTGAAAGGGCCCAGAGCTGGAAGAGCAATGTTCACATTCAATAGTTCTTATTTTCCATGATTGCAAAACTCAACCTGATTTCATGTCTTTAGATGACTCTTTCCAATCTGGTACACACTGTATTGTAACTGACTCCTACCCATGTTACAGATCTTTTACTATACATTTTACACTCTATGATATGTTTGGTAGAGATAATTGTCTACTCTTAGCTTAAGCTAAATCCATTCCACTTTAATGTTACTATGTCTATAGCTATATCCTGCTGATTGCTGTCTGTTAAATCCTGCAATTGTTATTTGCTAAGGATTTATTAGTTGAACATTCAGCATAACAGTAGTTTTCAGTGTGTTAGTGGGAATTCAGTACATCTATAAATTAACAGTGAGAGACTAGTCAGCAGTGCTCTGTGCCCATAAATGCCAGTAACAATGACCATTCTGCAAATAAAATGCCTGAATGGATTCCCATCAATGGCATCTCCTTCACCACAGCAGCAGGTTCACTGCTAACACCTGTACCTCCTTCTGCCTTCAGTGAACTGAACTCTCAACATTCTCATCTTTAAGAAACATTTTAGTGTGACATCCAGCCCTCAGTCAAACTGTCCCTAGAAACTATAATTGAAGGCGACCTCAGTCTCCCAACATGCTTCTTTGCATGTGTACCTTTCCCACTCTTTTTCTTATTCATTGCATTTCATTCACTTTTGCACTTTACCAACCCAATTTTCACACTAGCCATTATTATTCTAATCTTCCTAGACCTTACTGTTCCCTCTACTGTGGTCCAGACAGGAGATATTCTGAAGAGAAACACAGGAGTCCCTCCTTATATGTTTCATACAATTACCATGTTTGTACTCACAAATTCCCTTCTTATCAGGCATACTGCAGTTGGGAGCTGATGCCTATCTGAGAAAATATTCAACAGTCTCCCAAACTCTGTTCAATAAAGAGATGAATTGAACAACAAAAGGCATCTGCCAGGAATGGAATTTAGCTAGAATTCTGGCCAGAGCAACATAGCTTAGATTCCACATTCCCTATACCATTAAAAATTGCAATGGGAATGTTCAAATTGTATTTGAAATTCTTATTACACAATACAATAAAACAGAAAATATCTACTATTCAAGCCTCAGATCAATGTAATAGTCTATCTAGTGTCATCACTTATTTCAATGTTGCTACACATGGCTACAAAAGCTTGTTGTTAGCAAAATGTGAAGGTAAAAAGTAAACTAAAATCTGAACAAGTGAATCAAAACTGGTCTATACAGAGCAGCAAATAACGTGAGTGCTCTGTCAAGCAAAATATGAATGATCCTGTTCCACAAAGCATTCAATAAAAACAGTCTTTACAAATGGGAAACATGAGCAGACATTCATCAGCATCTCAAAACAGTTCACCAGAGACTCCCCAGCTTTTGAAAATGAATAACTTGACTATCATTGACAAGAAAGGAAATAGATAACTACAATATTCTTTCCAAGCTTGAAAGTTACTTTCTCTTCATATTCTTCAGTATGGACTTGCAGGCAACCAACACCCTAAGGTGATTGACCTGGGAGAAAACATCATAACACATTTAGTTCCTACACTCTAATTTCTGGAAGCAGTTACTTAATAAAATCTTTTCTCCAGGGTGCATTAAAGCTAAATTGCTGATGGGTACGTAGTTCCATAAACCTGTTGCTTTGGTTTTCCATTTTCCCCCAAATTTGTGGAAACAATTTGATAAAAGAAGTTATATTTACTCATTTTAGCCTGTTTAAACATGTTGATAAAGAAATCTATCTAATAGAACTCACTCTTCTGTGCATGCTACCATCTTATAATTTATCCAGTTATTGAAATCAACTATATCACTTTTAGATATGAATGTGACAGAATTTCAAGAGTGTATTCTTAGGATCAAAGTAGCCAGTCACCCAAGTTGCACCCATCCTCTATTACCAGTACAGATTATGCTGAGTATACGATCCTAGCCAATGGTAGCCCTAGCCGATGTTGCTGTTGCTGGGTCCACTTCTTTGGTAGTTGGAGAGAGAAACTTTTTCTATCTTCTTTTTAGTTGCTCTTGGTTCCCCAATCCCTAAATGCCTGACAAACCCAGTAATTCTTTAATATAAAAAATAGATAAATGATGTGACTTTAGCATTTTATTTTACAATATTTCTGTTCCATTTTGGGATTCAGCAAAAGACTGTGTTTATTATAGTAAGACATGCATTGCTAGATGTATATGAGAGAGATTGTCATGGAACTTAGATTTGTGAAAGGCTAAATCAATCAAGAAGTGTGAAAAAGAAATGATAAAAGGAGACACTTAAAGGAAAATATGTCAATAATTATGCTGATCTCAAACCAAATTTCTATATAAGATGTTAATAGTATGATAGAGGCTATGTTCCTGGACCCTGTGAGTCTGTAAGGCCCGAATAAGAGTTAATTGATTATGCTTCCATAGGAAATCAATGATTATGTTTTTCTTCTGTGAAGAATTGCACTGTACTTTTTATGTAGACTATATTGAATGTGTAGGTTGTTTTTGGTAGGGTGGCCATTTTCATGTGTTAATTCTACCAATCCACTAGCATCTGAGGTCTTCCCATCTTCTGGTATCTTCTTTAGTGTTTTAAAGTTTTCATTTCATTTTTCAGGGTTAAATTCATGCTCAGATATTTTTTAGCAT